TGTTTGTGGATTGCAGACATATCCGTTTTAAGTTTTGCCCACGTGAGTCATTCCAGGCAAATTAAACGTTTTTCGTTCACCAAATTTATGCTTTAGATAGTACAATTATGATAGGACAGTCATCACTACTTATGTCTTATACCACGTAGGAATATGTCACAATTCTCCACAACCCACTTTCTGTTTGGTATTTTGTAAGAATTATTAAGAGAAACTTTTGTGTGTGACTCTAACCTTTATCACTAATTCTAAGAGGATATTGGAAATAAATATGAACAGCCATGTTGTCTCACTGTTGACAGCATTTGAGATCTTCACAATCACCGGGTGTGACCACGTAGACAGAATCTCGTTAGGTTTTGTGATTTTTACATTTGCCCAAGGACCATGGTGAGTTTTGCTGGGGATACCAAAGGTGACAGTTTAGAGGAAATTGGTGGTGAGTACTTATACCGTGTTTATAGGATATCTTTAGGATTTTAGTTGTTTCTTTCTCTGCCGATAATCCTTTCAAGTCCATGGAAGGAAGTCACTCAATCAGGTCATGATAACGGTTATGCGCAAGGCTCGGGATCGCGAAAAGATCACTAGAGGTGTTGTTTGAGGCTGGACATGCAGCATACAGCATTTCCAGTGTAGGCTGGCACCTCGTCTTTCTTTCACTCGGTATTAAAAACCTTGATATACACCACGCCATTCATAGGTGCATTTGTCTATTTACAATGAAGTTGTTTAGCGTTACCAGTATTCATATGCTAACTCACTGATTACTTGTTAACTGGTCATTGCAAGTGCCTTAATTATTTAAATTTCAGTGAACTGAGATTATTCACATGTTAGCTTTCATAGGTTGTGATGGATACTTGTAAAATCCTCAGTTGAGTTTACTCACTCACTACTGTGAGCGTTTTTGGCATGACTTCTGTGCTTGTGTAAACACAGTAACTGCTAAATGCGGCGTAAAACTATGCTCACTCACAGTAACTGTTAATCCTCTGCAGTGTGCTGGCAAATTGGGGATAAATCAGTGATGATCAAACTCAGTTAGAATCCTTGTTTATCTGTGATATCTTCCAACTGATGACATCTTAGTAAACTTGACAAGTGATGATGAATTTTGATATTCATATTATTATAGTTTATCAAATTGTAAATAAAACTTCAATAAAATTGTGCTACACTCTCTCGAAAAATGTATTGTCTGTGGGTAAGTTTAAATGTCACGTAACATCAGCATTTATTTCTTAAAAGGACCCTCAGAGTTGAAATGAAATGGTAACTACCTGTAACAAGCTATCTGGGCAGTCAGGAAACCCATTTTACGGGTGCTTATGGAAAAGCGAGGTCAGTTCAAGTCAGTCGTTACAAAATCAGCCTAAGATAGTTAGTGGTGTAGAGAAAGTAGGACAAACCAAGACGCAAAGTACTGCGCCTTGTGTTTTGGTTTGTTGGGGCGCTGGGGTAGCCTTGTGGCAAAAGTGTTCGCTCGTCACGCCGAAAGCCGGGTTTGATTCTCCACATGTTTACAAGAGTGTGTTAAGCCCCAAATCTGGTGCCCCATCCCCCTCCTCCGCTATGATATTGATGGAATATATAATACTCTAGCTCATTCACTCTCTCAGAACGCCGCGATATGACTGGAATACTGTTAAAAGCGGCGTTAAACCCAACTCACTCACTCACTCACTCAGTCGTTTGTTCGTTGTACTCGGAAATATTATTGAGGCCAGTAACAATCCGATGATCGATATCCACACCGTCGGGGTACATTGCCACGCAATCATCCAAGTCACCGAGGCTCGTGATCAGTTTGGTCGCCTCTTACGACCAGCAAATGCTGCTTGGGACCATTTCTAACCCGGAATCCCCGCTAGACAAGGCGTGGGCAAAACATCTTGAACTGAAGAACATTTTGAAACTTGTGCAGGCAGACAACCAGGATCGATTAACCTTTGATTCGGTAAAAAACATTGATATCTGATAGAGTTATGAATATTGAAATAGTAGTGTGTATGAAATAACTGTTACGTAGAGCGCCTTATAAACTAGGGTGTCTCCTTGGCTTTGGGTGTCCATCCAATCGATGACATTATATTGTCAATTGTTATTTGACGCCACGCCGAACAGTATTCCAGCTATATGTCTGAGGCCTGTAAATAGGCGTGTGCGTGCGTGCGTGCGTGCGTGCGTGCGTGCGTGCGTGCGTGCGTGGGTAGACATGTCGCGGTTGTCCATGTACTCTTTGACATTATATTTGTTACTTGACGCCACGCTCAACAATATATCAGGCCTGTAAATAGTTTCACCGGACAAACCAGTGATTGATATTCTGAGTAACGAGCCGCTCAGTCGGGTACGAAGACACGCAATCAACCAATGCAAGTCCCCGGGGCTAGCCAGGACAAGTAAAGGTTTCAGGACCTCGTTCTACAAAGTGATCGTAGCTACGACCTACGTCTAGTTTGAGAGTTACGATTGTCTTAAAGCTAAGGTTGATTTGTTGAACGGGGCCCTTGTTGACGTTGTACTAAACAACCTTAGCGCTACGACTGCCATAAGTCTGTGTTAAGGTATGGGAGTTACGATCACCTAAGCGACCCGTGAAGATCCGGGAGGGAATAGGTCTTCAGCAACCCATGCTTGCCGTAAAAGGCGACTATGCTTGTCGTAAGAGGCGACTAACGGGATCGGGTGGTCAGGCTCGCTGACTTGGTTGATGCATGTCATTGTATCCCAATTGCGCGGATCGATGGTCATGATGTCAATCACTGGATTGTCTGGTCCAGACTCGATTATTTACAGACCGCCGTCATATAGCTGGAATATTGCTGAGTGCGGCTTTAAACAACATAAAACTAAACCAAACCGATCACCTAAGCGCTAAGAACGCTTTGTACAACACCACCCTGGGTACCAATTCTAACCAGATCCTTACAGGTTCATTGACGACAAGATTAACATATTTATTGGTACTTTGCGCCGATAAGAAGGTAATAATACTTTAAAGCTTTAGCAACGTTGGTCTTAAACTTGGTCTTAACCCATTCACTACGGGGAGAAAAGAGGCACATTTCGGATAAAGCACTTGCCCAAGGAGACACCACGATTGACCAATCAGAAAGTCCGAAGCAATACATAATGGATTGATATATACAATCTTCAAAACAAGAAACGCACAGGTAGACAGGTAAATTTATTGTTCCTAATAAAGTCGATATATTTTATTTAATATCATAAATACAAATATAAAATTTTTGAAACATGTTGTTGTACAAAGGCCCTGAAAACTGAAGGCCACAAGGTTGCGCTAAACTCAGTGTGACCGCCCCGGGCAGCAATTACGGCTCTGCATCTCCTCGGCACTGACTGGATAAGTGTACGAATTCTGTCCTGCGGAATTCTGAGCCATTCTGCACCATTCTGCGCCATTCTGCTTGTAATACGTTGGCCAGTTGTGGGAGTGTCTGCGGCGTGTTCTGACGTTGACGTACACGTCGATCGAGTTCATCTCAGAGGTGTTCGATTGGGTTGAGATCTGGAGATCTCGACGGCCAGGGCAAGGCGTTGATGTTGGCATTATAAAGGTAGTCGACCGTGACACGAGCGGTGTGCGGTGGAGCGTTGTCCTGTTGAAATAGCTCCCTCTGGCGGTCAATGATTGGAAGAAGGTGAGGTTGAAGAATTTGATTCATGTAGCGATTTGCATAATGGTGTTCACGCGTTGCCGATTACCGCATGTATTTTAGATTGAGTGACGTGGGTTACTATAAATGGCAGGCTCCAACCATTTCCCTTATACGTAAAATATTTACTGCGCATGCGCCCCGATAAGGCTGATCGGAATTTGGGGCTTTAAATGAATCTGCATCTGTGACTATTTTTACTTCCGTTTTCCTTTCCTCAGTTTTGGGTAACTTTACCAGCAACTTCCCATATCACACCAAACACACCATATCACTCAGAAAAAATAACCTGCCAAACAGCTTAAACACTCAAATGCGTTGTGAGCTCATATCCTTGAGTGAGTGAGTGAGTTGGGTTTAACGCCGCTTTTAACAGTATTACATTTATATCGCGGCGTGTCAGCTTAATGTGGGAGGAAAGCCCAAAGTGATGCAGGTCTTTACCACTTCGGTGAAACCCACGAGCACGAGTATGGTGCTGACAAACCTAGAAACATAATCGGGGCGAACAGGGATTCGAACCCACAATCACAGGTTTCTGGCGTGCCCAAGGGACGCAACTCTGCACATCGAATCGCGGCGCCTCAGACGACTGGGTCATCCGTGCCCCCCTCATATCCTTGGGGCAATATGAAGTCAGCTCGTCTGTGTAATGCCAAGATTTCGCATGGCTCAACAGTCTGGGAACTTTATATGTTACCTTCATCACGTGACGTCGTGGTACCACTTTCACATACAATGTATCCGGCTGAGACAGGTAAACTCTTACCGTATTTAACCCATAATAAATAAATTCCAAGCCGGCGTTAAGTATACGAAATGAAAATTTAAAGAAACACGTGTGTGCTAGAAGGAAAAGTGGACACCTTGAAGAAGTGACAGCAAAAGATCTCTAATAAAAATTCTAGGCCCCAATTACCCTGATCGATAGGGTGTGGGGTTTGTTTTTTTGTTTCTTGCGTACTCAGCAATATTCCAGCTATTAGACGGCGTTCTGTAAATAATCAGACCATCCAGTGATTGGCATCACGAGCATCAACGCAATTGGGATACCATGACATGCATCAATCAGTTCAGTGAGACTGACCACCCGACCGCGTTAGTCGCCTCTTACCACAAGCAGAGTTGCCTTTTACAGCAAGCATGGGTTGCTGTTGGGGGAGGTAAACATGGTGATAGGCCAGTTGTTAATATGAGCTGGCTTTAAATCATTTGATGAATTATAACAAAACATGTCAAACGGTCTTTTAAAACGATATATTAGCGAGCTGTTCCACATTTTGAACAATAAAGGAGGAATGGGTTGGTTCATTGTAGGTACTGTGGCTTATGTCGAGAGAAAAAGTTATTTCCCCCTTGTTTTGGGTTCCACCAAATACTTCATTTACTTTGTAGAATAACCCTTTCCATATTACGAACCCCGGAAAATGAAAATATAAAATAATATAAACACTGTTGTTCCGATTGCGGTGATTCCAAATGATCATTGGGCATTTATACATTTATAGAACCCGTGTTTATTCTTGCTCCCTTTACGCCCGCTGAAAATAAAGTTTATCAATTGTATGGTTGAATGTTTCCCTCAACTTTGTCAGTTTACGGTTGAATGTTATCAATTGCAATACTGTTTTGAGTTTGTAATGACAGTTTTCATGCCCATATTATCTACGTTCATTTTCTTCTCTCCTACGATCATCGTCGTCGGTATCATCAGTGTCTTCTTCTCTCTTCCTACGCTCATCGTCGTCGGTATCATCGTCATCATCGGTGTCTTCTTCTCTCTTCCTACGCTCATCGTCGTCGGTATCATCGTCATCATCGGTGCCTTCTTCTCTCTTCCTACGCTCATCGTCGTCGGTATCATCAGTATCATCGGTGTCTTCTTCTCTCTTCCTACGCTCATCGTCGTCGGTATCATCGTCATCATCGGTGTCTTCTTCTCTCTTCCTACGCTCATCGTCGTCGGTATCATCGTCATCATCGGTGTCTTCTTCTCTCTTCCTACGCTCATCGTCGTCGGTATCATCGTCATCATCGGTGTCTTCTTCTCTCTTCCTACGCTCATCGTCGTCGGTATCATCAGTATCATCGGTGTCTTCTTCTCTCTTCCTACGCTCATCGTCGTCGGTATCATCGTCATCATCGGTGTCTTCTTCTCTCTTCCTACGCTCATCGTCGTCGGTATCATCGTCATCATCGGTGTCTTCTTCTCTCTTCCTACGCTCATCGTCGTCGGTATCATCGTCACCATCGGTGTCTTCTTCTCTCTTCCTACGCTCATCGTCGTCGGTATCATCGTCATCATCGGTGTCTTCTTCTCTCTTCCTACGCTCATCGTCGTCGGTATCATCGTCATCATCGGTGTCTTCTTCTCTCTTCCTACGCTCATCGTCGTCGGTATCATCGTCATCATCAGTGTCTTCTTCTCTCTTCCTACGCTCATCGTCGTCGGTTTCATCGTCATCATCGGTGTCTTCTTCTCTCTTCCTACGCTCATCGTCGTCGGTATCATCAGTATCATCGGTGTCTTCTTCTCTCTTCCTACGCTCATCGTCGTCGGTATCATCGTCATCATCGGTGTCTTCTTCTCTCTTCCTACGCTCATCGTCGTCGGTATCATCGTCATCATCGGTGTCTTCTTCTCTCTTCCTACGCTCATCGTGGTCTGTATCATCAGTATCATCGGTGTCTTCTTCTCTCTTCCTACGCTCATCGTCGTCGGTATCATCGTCATCATCGGTGTCTTCTTCTCTCTTCCTACGCTCATCGTCGTCGGTATCATCGTCATCATCGGTGTCTTCTTCTCTCTTCCTACGCTCATCGTCGTCGGTATCATCGTCACCATCGGTGTCTTCTTCTCTCTTCCTACGCTCATCGTCGTCGGTATCATCGTCATCATCGGTGTCTTCTTCTCTCTTCCTACGCTCATCGTCGTCGGTATCATCAGTATCATCGGTGTCTTCTTCTCTCTTCCTTCGCTCATCGTCGTCGGTATCATCGTCACCATCGGTGTCTTCTTCTCTCTTCCTACGCTCATCGTCGTCGGTATCATCGTCATCATCGGTGTCTTCTTCTCTCTTCCTACGCCCATCGTCGTCGGTATCATCGTCATCATCGGTGTCTTCTTCTCTCTTCCTACGCTCATCGTCGTCGGTATCATCAGTATCATCGGTGTCTTCTTCTCTCTTCCTACGCTCATCGTCGTCGGTATCATCGTCATCATCGGTGTCTTCTTCTCTCTTCCTACGCTCATCGTCGTCGGTATCATCAGTATCATCGGTGTCTTCTTCTCTCTTCCTTCGCTCATCGTCGTCGGTATCATCGTCACCATCGGTGTCTTCTTCTCTCTTCCTACGCTCATCGTCGTCGGTATCATCGTCATCATCGGTGTCTTCTTCTCTCTTCCTACGCTCATCGTCGTCGGTATCATCAGTATCATCGGTGTCTTCTTCTCTCTTCCTACGCTCATCGTCGTCGGTATCGTCGGTGTCTTCTTCTCTTTTTTTACGATCATCGTCGTCGGTATCATCAGTATCATCGGTATCATCGGTGTCTTCTTCTCTTTTTCTACGATCATCGTCGTCGGTATCACTTGTATCATCGTCTCTCCTCTCCAGTTCAACCCCTCCCACTATATCTTGACCAGTGCCTCTTCTTTGTCGAGTAGAATCGGTGTCCTCAGCATGATCACGAAGATCGTTTGTTCCTGCGAAGTATGTGGTTGATGTTAAGATCATCATAAAAATGAATGGCAACTCAAAATAGATACATGGCTCAAAATGTCATTAGTTCTTTGGACAGAAAAAGCCTAAGCCTGTGTTATGTAAACAGATCTTCATGGTTTTGCGTAGAGTTCCAGCAATTTCACGGCGGGGGACATCAGAAATTGTCTTTAGACATTGTACCTATGTGGGGAATCGAACCTGACATTCATCATAACTAGTGAATGATTTAACCACCGGGGTATTCTACTGCCTCTCACAGAGAATTTCATCAAATCGTAATATAGAATTTTACAGATTCTCATTACGTTTACAGCATAAACACAATTATATATCTACAGAATTTCAACATTGTTACTGAAAATAACAATGTGGATCTATTCTACTCAAAGAAGTTTAGAGCCACACGATTCTTTCATATTATTTAAGATAATCTGTCAAGGATCGGTTCGTCCTTAACTTCTTTTTTGAGAACTGACTGCTATTGAAATCCCGAGGTTGTTTATCACTCTGTAAAGTAAAGTCCTTTACATGCCTTTGAGTGAGTGAGTGAGATTGGTTTGACGCCGCTTTGAACACTATTTCAGTCATGTGGCTTGTAGCGGGAGGAACACCTGAAATGTCTTAGACTCTTACCGCTTCGAAAAACCCACGTGTAAATGTATGGTGTTGAGAAACCTAGAATCATAAATCTGGGATTCGAACCCACGTTCAAAGGCATGCATGCGATGCTAATAACGGCGATGTCGTGGTTCGGACTCTCGCTATTTACTATCAAACATAATTACATATATCTCTTAGAAAGCACGATTTGTGTGTGATGAGAGCCCTTTTGGCCATTGGAAAAGTCAAATAAAGTTTGAATTATTTGTATGAAAATGTTCAGACATGTTCAATGGCTGACTACGCTTTTTCTTTCTTATACTTGGGGGCACGGGTGGTCCAGTCGTCCAAGGCGCCGCGATTCACTGTGCAGAGCTGCGTCCCTTGGGCACGCCAGAAACCTATGATTGTGGGTTCGAATCCCGGTTCGCCCCGATTATGTTTCTAGGTTTGTCATCACCATACTCGTGCTCGTGGGTTTCACCGAAGTGGTAAACGTCTAAGACCTGCATCACTTTGTGCTTTCCTCCCACATTAAGCAGACACACCGTGATATAACTGGAATACTGTTAAAAGCGACGTTAAACATAACTCACTCAGTTACTTTCTTATACTTTCAAGTTGAAAATGGTTCATTTGTAGAACGTCGAGAATGTTCTGAGGATCACTTGTCTGTGTCCCATGAAAAGGTTTTTGATCCCCATGTGTGTACCGTTCCTTGGGAAATCACATTGATTAAAGACTTGCTTTTGTTTAAATGTTCGAAAAACGCTTGATGAAAACCTCTAAAAGCAATATTTTACCTACATTTAGCCTTAGTATATACATTTAGTGCTCTTACAAGTCCAAACTTGAAGTTGTTGAAATAAATATTGTATAACTCTCATTCATCTGAACACATCTGACGACGTTCAGTGATTTGTACAGGTTCACCCTAATTTCTGAAGTCATCCCATGGGCCCAAATCGACCTCATCATAACTCGCCCTTTCAAAATGAAAACCCTTTTGAAATTCTTATTTAAAACACAAAAGTTCTCACCCCCGAGCAGCCTTCTTGAGTTAAAGCCGGCAACAGAAGCCACACCTGTAAATTCAAAAAGGATGATCGTATAAATAGTTGATAAATGAATATCACATCAATTGTCGCACCTGAACATAATTAAAAGTAAGAGCTGGCAATCACTGCCAGACCTGTAAAGTATAGTGGAACTATAAGTTAAATAGTTTGGGAAGGACACGCCCCTTGCCACACCTGTAAAGTGTAATGGAGCTATCAGTTAAATAGTTGGGGAAAGACATGTCCCTTGCCACACCTGTAAAGTGTAATGGAGCTATCAGTTAAATAGTTGGGGAAAGACACGCCCCTTGCCACACCTGTAAAGTGTAATGGAGCTATCAGTTAAATAGTTGGGGAAAGACATGTCCCTTGCCACACCTGTAAAGTGTAATGGAGCTATCAGTTAAATAGTTGGGGAAAGACATGTCCTTGCCACGCCTGTAAAGTGTAATGGAGCTATCAGTTAAATAGTTGGGGAAAGACATGTCCCTTGCCACGCCTTTAAAGTGTAATGGAGCTATCAGTTAAATAGTTGGGGAAAGACATGTCCCTTGACACACCTGTAAATTGTAATGGAGCTATCAGTTAAATAGTTGGGGAAAGACTTGTTCCCTTCCACACCTTAAAGTATAATGACCTGTCAGTTAAATAGTTGGGGAAAGACATGTTCCTTGCCACACCTGTAAAGTGTAATGGAGCTATCAGTTAAATAGTTGGGGAAAGACATGTCCCTTGCCACGCCTGTAAAGTGTAATGGAGCTATCAGTTAAATAGTTGGGGAAAGACATGTCCCTTGCCACACTTGTAAATTGTAATGGGGCTATCAGTTAAATAGTTGGGGAAAGACTTGTTCCCTTCCACACCTTAAAGTATAATGACCTGTCAGTTAAATAGTTGGGGAAAGACATGTTCCTTGCCACACCTGTAAAGTGTAATGGAGCTATCAGTTAAATAGTTGGGGAAAGACTTGTCCCTTGCCACACCTGTAAAGTGTAATGGAGCTATCAGTTAAATAGTTGGGGAAAGACATGTTCCTTGCCACACCTGTAAAGTGTAATGGAGCTATCAGTTAAATAGTTGGGGAAAGACATGTTCCTTGCCACACCTGTAAAGTGTAATGGAGCTATCAGTTAAATAGTTGGGGAAAGACATGTCCCTTGTCGCACATCAACATTGTCAATCATCACAGTTACACTTAATCAATGCGATCTGGTCAGATAAATTCCAGCTACACCTTGAACTGGTGTGGGTGAGTGAGCGAGTGAGTTTCATCCTGTAAGATAAATTATGTACTTACATATGAGCAGGAAAAAGGATAGCGCAACTTTGGTTCTCATCGTGAACAATATTCGACAATGACATAGGCTTCTGTGGCAGCTTCCTAGCTTTATACCACGAGCAAGTAAACACATACTCTTAAATATCTCTTTAACATTACCTCATATTTGTGGAGTGACATAGGACATTCACCTATGCAGTCCGTCATAGGTCAAGGGGCGGTTTAACCTAAGAAATGTTGAAATATTTACTTGTCAACGTATGTTGTAACTAGTGAGATATAATGTATTAAAGCAAATACAGTTTACAATTAGGGACCACTTAAGTCATATGTTCGATGAAAGTTGACTGCAGTCGTAAGTTCTAACATAAAAAAATTATTCATGTTTATGCACGGTTGGCCCAGTCGTCTTAGGCGCCGCAATTCGCTGTGCAGAGTTGCGTCATTTGGGCACGCTAGAAACCTATGAAAATGTGTTCGAATCCCGGTTCGCCCCGATTATGTTTGTAGGTTTGCAATCACTTCGGGATTTCCTCTCACATTAAGCTGACACGCAGTAATATAACTGGAATTCCGTTCAAGGCGGCATGACACCAAACCCATTCAAACTCACATACACTCTTCAAAAATAGAAACAGGTAGATTTTAAGTAATTTTAAATTTTAAGTCGATATTTTTAATTCAAATTCATAGATACAAATATGAAATTTTGAAGCTTGATAGTCACATGTTGTCGTTGTACAAAGGCATTGACAGCTGTTCATTGTCATGTCACATAAGAGCAGCAATCACGGCTCTGCATCTCCTCGGCACTGACTGGATAAGTGTACGAATTCTGCTTGTAATGCCTTGGTCACTTGTGGGAGTGTCTGCGGCGTGTTCTCTGGGTCGCGAAGATGGTTCCTGACAGTCTGGTCCCATATCCTCTTCAAACCAGGGATGCGTCCTGCAGTCTCCGTAGCTGTGGAATTGCGATGACGTAGGTAGTCTGTCTTACAGACCCTGATACAAATATATATCAAATACAGCCCATGCAAGTCTATAATGTTTGGCAAGTCTAGATCACTGCAGTATCAAAATGAAGAGAGTCACTGGGCTCCTTTTTATCATATTTTTATTAAGATAACTAAACAACTGTTTTTTTATGTACGATATGTTCATTTCAGAGACTAGATTTTAGTCTATGACGTAGGTGGAAAAGTCGAATGTAGCGATCCCGTGCAAGGGTGGTAACTCTTGGTCGGCCGGTTCCCGGACGGTCTGCAGTGGAATTGAACCGTGTGTATCGGTCCCAAAGGCGGCAAATGGTGACATTGTGGACGTTGAGGTCACGTGCAACAGCAGACTTCGATTCCCCTCAAATGAGTCTCGGCATTTTCGAACTTGGAAAATGTTGACAATTGAATGACACATTATTGGCTTATGCTTGCCTTTTTATAGCTACCACGAGTTACGAATGCCATAACTTGCACGTGCATTTTGCTTTACTGTTTTCCTCCATGACCTTTTTTCAACAAGTGTGAAAACAATGCCCTTTAAGGCATTGCAAATCGACAATGACTGCGTTTTGACGCACCGTTTGTCGAATATCAGTGCCACCAACATTTTCCAATAACATATATCCAATTTATATACCGGATTGTATGTGCAATCAGGTTCAATGAACTACATACTACCTGTGCGTTTCTTTTTCTGTTGAGGGTATGTCCGTTCCCATTATCAATATAAGTCATATTGCATTATATTTTCTACGGATACACATTTGCTGAAATGTACGGAGAATGGGCGGCTCTGTCGTAATCCGCTGTGCAGAGTTGGGTCCCTTTGGTGTGCCAGAGACCCATGATCATGAGTTTGAATCCGAAATTATGTTTCTAGGTTTGTCAGCACCATACCCGTGCTCCTGGTTTCACCACAGTGGTATAACGTCACAGCATGACAGATTGACCATAGTAATATGAAAGAATCGGGTCATCCTTAACGTTTTTGAGTAATATATATACTGAAATTCAATACAGCATCAGTACATTGAATTACCGCGTGCGATGGCTGATGGAAACTTAGATTATTTACAAAACTTTAGGATGAAGTACAGGTCTAATAAACTTACTCTGCCTTCTTATTAATGCACTCATTACGTTATACGCATTGAACTTGTACTGTATAGCACTAATTATGTTATACACGTTGAACCAGTACCGCATTGCACTAATTACATTATGTATATGATCTAGTGCTGATTTGCACTAATTATGTTATAGACGTTGAACTAGTACCGTTGTGCACTAATTATAATTATGTTATAAACGTTGAACCAGTACCGCATTGCACTAATTACATTATGTATATGAAACTAGTGCTGCTTTGCACTAATTATGTTATAGACGTTGAACTAGTACCGTTGTGCACTAATTATGTTATAACCATTGAACCAGTACCGCATTGCACTAATTACATTATGTATATGAAACTAGTGCTGCTTTGCACTAATTATGTTATAGACGTTGAACTAGTACCGTTGTGCACTAATTATGTTATAAACGTTGAACTAGTACCGTTGTGCACTAATTATGTTATAGACGTTGAACTAGTACCGTTGTGCACTAATTATGTTATAATCGTTGAACTAGCACGGTTGTACACTAATTATGTTATAAACGTTGAACTAGTACACTATTTGTTAGTGGCCTTATTTCTCTTTACTTTAACCAGTGGTTGTGGTCTATGAAATAAAATGCTAGAATGTCTAAATAAAATTACGTGTCGGTCACTGAACCTGAAGAGTGAGAGAGTGAGTTTGGTTTTACGCCGCTTTTAGCAATATTCCAGCAATATTACGGCGGGGGACACCAGAAATGGGCTTCACACATTGTACCCACTGAACCTGAAGAGAGTGGATGAGTTGGTGAGTGAGTGTCCTTTTACGTCAGTCATCAACTTGAAAGCTACTTCATGGCACCCTGTAAACAAACAAGTCTGGTGGAGGTACTTGTAAACCAGTGGTTGCTCACACCAGCAACACAGACGAGATATGCGGACACATTGTAACCACTCGATACCCACTTCTGTCGGCTCGTGCGAAAAGCTATTCATGACCACTCGTGTCATTCCGGGACAAGCCGAATGACGACTCTCTTCGCACCGTCTTCCTGCACACGTGCACAGCGAAACGTATTGCACGAAATCGCTTTTGCTCTGTACATTTACATTGATAGTTTCTAACTGTGTCACGATTGCCATTTACAAACACTTGTTATTTATTATGGAGAAACATGGTCACGTTGACATATTTTTACGCGCAAACTATACCTATAAACAAAATATATTAAGGACGGATTTTCGACATGGTGGTCTGTGGTCTGGACATGACATTGAGCGATGGGGGGAGAGCCTTTTTCAGATGAATGAAAGCGGCGAAAGTGACACATGACGACAAGCTTGACATTCTACAAGGAAAACGGGGGCACGGGTGGCCCAGTCGTCTAAGGCGCCGCGATTCACTGTGCAGAGTTGCGTCCCTTGGGCACGCCAGAAACCTATGATTGTGGGTTCGAATCCCGGTTCGCCCCGATTATGTTTCTAGGTTTGTCAGCACCATACCCGTGCTCGTGGGTTTCACCGAAGTGGTAAACGTCTTAGACCTGCATCACTTCGTGCTTTCCTCCCACATTAAGCTGACACGCCGCGATATAACTGGAATACTGTTAAAAGCGGCGTTAAACCCAACTCACTCACTCACTCACTACAAGGAAAACAATTGTGACCAACCACAAAATAAGGGACGTTATGGGTGAAAAACCTCATTTTGACTTCTTATTTTATTTAAAAACAACAGTATCTTAGGATCACAAAAGTACAAATCATAAGCTTCAATTAATATTCGTTACGGAGATGCATGGCATCAAACATTTCGACTCATTTTGTGCAAAGTCCCATTTTCAGACTTATGGTTGTTTATGAAATGATTGTAGTTTTTAGATATAATGTCTGATGAACTGAAAGTAGACATGTATGCTGGAATGTTTCAAAAAATGTTTTTATTACATTAGGAAATAACAAAAAACAAGATACTTTTGTACAGTAGGTAAGTAAGTTGACATCAACGTCTTTCTTTATGACGTCACAGCATAATTAAATCCTAACACCCATAAAATCCCTTTTCTCCTTGTGGTTCACAATTTGACACATTATCAACACTGGAACAACGAACTTTTAATTCCCGGCTATTTATTTTATTACCTACATGACAGGGCGTCCCTGCCGTTAATCTGGATAAGTGTTTCATTGGTCTGAAACATCAATATATAATGGATGCTTTTGGCAGATATGTGTTACCTATGTACAGCTAAATGTTTGAATGTTGACGGTGCGATATGGCTTACGAGGGCTTGACGTGTGCTGGTGTTGGCGCAAGCATTTATCAGTGTCCGTAATTACGCATTAATTTCCAGTTTTCCTGTATATGTGTTCACTGCAACACCAGAGGTCAGGCGTTGTGTTTGCACAGTGGTGTAAGGTCTACCGAAGTGAGGTGAGGTGAAAAGGAGTTTAACGTCCTGTGTGCGTGTGCGTAGTAGTCAGGACTAATGCAGATTTTATAGTGCTTGCCCACTGAGATACCATGATAACATGGATACCCCGCTCACACAGTATACTGAAACCGAGCCGACCAGTCCGTTAATGCCGAGCGCCAGGCAGGGTAACAACAAGTACTTTCCATTAACGTCATTTGGTATGATGCGGTTGGGGATCGAACCACTGACCTACCGCTTTCCGGGAAGACACTCTATACACTAGACCAAGGAGGCGGTTTGCCGATGTGAGATTTTATATGTTGATGTTTCTTGATATAGCTGTATTGCCATACTTTCAAGAAAACAACTTTAGAAAGATTGCTGCACTGCAAATCTTGTACATAAACAAAGCTTCATAAATACATAAACGGGCTGGACATTTTGTTTTCAGGTAAATGGTTAGTTTTTTATCCATAGGGCACGGATATATGTCAACTATTTCCAGTAATCCTCACTGAATATTACATTTTTCTCGCTGATCGACTAGTTACTAGATATACACATTGTGTTTTTAATCTAAAGCTTTGTTA